TATTTATTACAAAAAAAAAATTACTGATATTTTTTACGATACGATGCGCTACCATCATTCCCCACAATCGCATCACACATAATTTTCATACTACACGCAATTTATTCATTTAATATTGCTATTTATTAATTATGTATAATCCTTGCTACCTCTGCATGTTTACATATATTGTACAACAACAATTTTATACGATTTTTTTTAGTAATTAACCTATTAACTGCAGATTGAATATGTTTTCGTTTAAATTTTAATTTCTCCCGTATGTATGTATGTGCACTTGTTGAAATTACAAGCCTCTTCATAAAAAAAAGTATATTCCGATTTATATAGTGAAAACTGAGCTATATTTATGTTCGTAAACAATATTGTTCATAAATTCAGCAATGTGGTGAAAAATTTTATGAGTAGGTCAGTTAAATCAGATGAACTGTTTTACTTATATAAAACATTAAATAATATGTTATAAATATCAATCACGTTTTTGCAATATTGCCATTATGAAAATGTTTAAGAATGTTTAAAAAAGGAAATAAAAAATAAATTAGCAATTAACGGGTTAATTTTTTATTCTATACATTGTATTCGTTGTATTTGCACTTTTATACTCAATAAAAATTTATTTTTATTTTATGTTTAAGTGCAATATTTTAGTGCAGAACGAAACAGTTTGTTGACGTATCACATTTAAAAAAACAAAATTCATAACTCAAAAAAACAAACAAAAGTGTTAAAAATTTATATATTGCAAAAAAAAAAATTATTGTATTATTACAACTGTTATATTTATTATTGTTACATATCGTGATTTATTATAAAAACAAATTAAAAACAAAAAAAAAACTAACTTTGTAAAAAACTTAAAAAAAAAAAATATAAACGAAAAATACATTACAACAAAATTATTTACATTATAACAAAAATTTGCGAAAAATCCAACCTTCTCTCTCCCTTACTCACTCTCTCAAATGATAAAAAATTGGTGCTGTTGCTCTATGAATAAAATTTCAACAAACATTATGACATTAAAAATTTAAATTTTTGAATAATAAAATTTTCATATATCCTAATCTTATTTACTAAAATATCATTTTTATTTTACTGTTAATGAATTGCAAAAAAAAATTTTATATGTGGAAATGTGGAGAAGTTTATAAAAAAAATTATAAAAAATTTGTTTTATCTGTCTAAACCTAAAAATTAGTTCCATATACGCACACGTCAAAAAAATAATAAAAAAAAACAAAACTTTGGTCATATATTTTGAGACAAAGCATTTTATCCAAAAAAGAGCATTTTATTATATTTAAAATTCGCATATATATACACTTATGTATATATATATATAAAAAAATACGATGATAGCCCGAAAAGCACGAAAGGGCTTATGAAATAAAAATTATATAAAGAACGAATAAAATCACATTTTCTTATTTTTGAAACATTTCATTTACACATGTGCTGGTTATTAAATAAACAAAATTATTAAAAAAAAGTAAATAAAATATCAATGAAGTAAAATTAACCACCGCTAAATCTAACTAAAAAACAACTAAATAAATTACTAAAAGTTTTTACAAAATAATTTTAAATTGTAAATATATGAATATAAAAATTGTGTATAATATATTATATAATTATAACTATTATTGCAAATATTTAAAAAACAAAAAAAAAATAGATCTGGTTTGTAATACTCTTTTTTTCTCTCTCAGAGAGAGTACTTTTAATTTATATTTTTAAAATTTTCATAAAAATATATTTTATTTATTTTACTAACAGCGTCGGATTTATATCTGTCCAGAAATAACTCAACAACACATTGAATTACATGTTCAATTGCAGCTTGAGTAATGGACATGCAACTTTAAAAATAATTAAGTCACATCAAAGAAACCTTAAACAATAGAACTAATAATACTAATAAAATAATAGAGCTTTTGTATAAACGAGTTTTTTTTTGGTAGGGGCAAAAATTCAAAAAAAATTGACTGTAGTTGTACATATTCTACTCCTTCAGGAATAAATTAGTCACAAATTAGAAACTTTAAAGACTACAATGCTTAAATTTCTGATAAACAAGTTTGCGAAAAGGATATAGCTACTTGAAAAATTTAAAAACTTTGAACGCCAAAATAAATTCAATAAAAGGGGTAGTATTTTATTTAAATTTTCGCAGGTACTATAGAAAACATGTGCGGGTGTCACAAATTTAATACAGTAAATTTTATTTTTTCTTGTTTTAAAGTGAAATCTAAAATATAATATTGAATCAACTGATTATTCAATACATAAGAAACATAGTTATATTAACTACTTTTCTATAAAATATTTTTAATTGCTGTTATATAATATTTATATTTTTTAGTAAAAGAAACGCATATATAAGTAGTTCCATTGAAAAAAAAACATTTACATTATTATTTGTATTCAGCTAAAACAACAACAAAAACAAATTAAAAACAAACATAGGGAGAAAAAAGTAAACCGAAAGTAATAATTTACTAAATCATATGTAATAATTATTATATAAACTAAAAAAAATTTTTAAATGTTTATTAGATAAAAAATATTAAAAACCAAAAAAAAACATAAATAATCTATTTTTTATATTATAACACTGTAAAAGATTAAACAAAACTTATTAATATTTTTTTATCAATATATTATTAAAAACATAAAAAAATAACAAAACTCTATCTATTTAACTATTTTAAATACTAAAATTATATTATAGTGTAACAAATTACTAAAAAATTTTAATGTTAAATAATAACTTTAAATTTTGTGGATTCTCATTGTTGATGTTTTCTTTTTTTGTTTTTCTCTGTGTTCTTATATATAATATAAATACTTAAGAGATTTTGTTTTCGATTTTTAATTTGATTATGCTGCTTTTCTTTAGCTTTTTATATGTACTGTACACTAACAAAAATGGCAAATTTAAAATTAAGTATCTAGTGTTTCTTATTAACTAAATAAATAACTTATAAACTAATTAAAAAAAAAATAAAACAAAAAATAAAATAGAAAAAAGAAATATTAAAAAGGAATTGAAAGTCTGTGGTTAAAAAAAAATAAAAAATTTATGTATGATTTTACAATTTATTATATCATAAAAATTAATAATAAATAAAATATTATAAAATAAAATATTTATATAGATATAATTTAAATTTAAAAAATTATTAATTAAAAAAATAGCAAATATAAATGAATAGAATTGCACAATTCATATTTAACAATAAAAAAAATATATCCATATACATATAATGTCAAAACTAATTAATTTCTAAAAAAATAATAAATATATTAAAAATAATAAACCAAAAAAATATACATATAATAATTTTCAAAATAAATGGGTGGTAATATGGTAAAATAACCTTAAAATTTTTCAAATTCAAATTATATAAATACAGTAATATAAACATTATATAAATATTGAAAAGAGAAAAAATATATTCAAATTTATAAAAATCTTATGCATTTTATATGAAAGCAATAATTTATTTAACAAATAAAAACCAACAAAAAAAAATAATATTTAATCAATTTTTCAAAAATATTTAAAACTTAGAAAAAATTTCGTTTTTTTAATATATAGAAAAGAAATATAGAAGAGAAACCAATTACATATTTGTTTATGCATATATTAAATAAAACATCAAAAAAAATAAAGTGAAATAAATATATGTAATATAGAAATTAATCTACTACTTATATTTATATATAATATTTAATTGAACAAAGAATTTATTTTAAAAATTTTTTAATTGAAAAACAGTAAAACAAAAATTTAAAATAAATTTTTCTTTCTGTGTGTATTTTAATTTTTGTTTTGTGTTTGAGTGTGGAAAAAGGAAAAATTAATTAACTCACGACGATATGTTTTTTTTTGGAGAGAAAGTAACTGCCATATACATATACACATATACTGAATTCACATAAATAATATTTATGTAATTTATATAACGTTTTGTGCTATTGTACCATAATTATTTAAATATACGTATACATGTATACATACTTAAAATATTGTGTGTGCAAAATCATCTTGTATGTTTATATAAACAATAATTAAAAAAAATAGAAAACAAACTGAGAAAGACAATTAAGAAGCAAAGAAAGTGAAATATAAAACACCAATTTAATTTTTTCATATATCTTTTTTCATATTTTTTCCTTTTTAATTTTCAAACAGAATTGAAAAATAAAATAAATTATAGATTTAGAATTTTATTTTTGTCGTAGAACTATAAATGTTACAAAAATAAATAAACAATAATATATCATTCTTAAATAGCAATATTTTATGAACCTAATGTGTTTTTGTGTATGTGTGTGCAAAATTAAAAACTTTTTTTAATTTTTTTTTTAAGTGCGTACGAGAGTATACTTAAAAATACTTATTATAACTCTCAATTTATTATTAAATATATATTAAATATTTAAAAAATATACTCAATATATAGTTAAAAAGAGAGGTAGACAAAATTTTATAAAAAACTCGAAATTCAACTGATATACTCATGGTATAATTCAAAATGAAAATCGGGAAATAAAATATTAAAATATTATCTAAAATATACAAATACACAAACATACATATATATACATATATATATGTATATAACATTAAATTTGTGATGCACTTAATTGAAACGAGAACAAATTGAAAATATTTAAAAAGAAACTCTTCATTTATTGTATGTCTTCATTTAGACATTTGTACAAAAATACATTACTTATTCATATAATATATCTGTATAAATATACATACATATATATATATATAAATATGCATGTATATATATATATATATATATATATATATATATATATATGTATATGAATAAGTATACACAAATATTACAAAAAAATATTAACATTGAAAAAAGAATTATATTTTAATTAAAATAAATCATATCACCATTGCACATCAAAATAACAACAAACAAAGAAAAATAAATAAACAAATAATAAACAAATTTGTATATATATATACATAAATACATATATATATATATATATATATATATATATATATATGTATATATATATGTTATATAATAGACTTATAATAATAAAAATTTAATAAAACAGCAGCACATTAATCATTTTGTATAGAGGATAAAATTTAAATAAAACGGTAAGTCTGCTTTTTTGTTATAATTTACTTACAATTTCTTTTATCAATTCACGAAATTTGTTGTGAATAGATATACTGAATGCATTCATTGTTTTTGTTAAAACTAATAGATTATTAATGAAGTAATAAGGACTTAATTGATTTTAATTGCCTCCTAGTCATTGAATTCTAATTAGCAGAGGACATACTATAGTATATCTTATTTTTATAGTTATAAAGCTAAATATACGAGATTAACGATAAATTTGTTTAAATGATCACCGTGTCTGCAAGGGCTAAAAGAAGACGGACCATCAGTTTAATCCCTCTCTCAAGCAAGAGTCCAAAATCTCAATGACTCTTCTGAGAAACAAAATTTTGCTGGAAAAGAGACTGAATTCTTTCCTGGAATACATATCCAGCATTGTTCCTTCATTAGGGGATTTTTTTTGCTGAACTTTTGTTTAAATATTGAAAATTTCATAAATAAAAGCATTCTTAATATATAAATGAAAGGTGCTTATTATCATCTCTCCAGTCTTTCCAACATCTAAATGTTTTAGTTTGTTAACCTTAATAAATAAATATTTGTTTTTTATTTATGTGTGCTCTGTGTATTATATTTGTATTCAAATATTCATTTTCTTATTAAATTTCAATAAAAAATGCAACAGTTTCTAAATATATTTTATTACAATCGAATCAGCTCATCAATATTTAAAAATTTGAAAATTCTGTCATACTATAAGGATATGGAACTGAATAATGGTTTGTTTATATGACTTATAACGTAAATCATTTTGAAACTTCCAAAAAATAAACTGTCCTTCAAAATTACTTTACATTATATACTTCTTAAATTCTTATATTTTTTCCATTTCATTTATTATGGTTTTTGCTTTAATAATATTCCTGAGAAAATCTTGCTAAAACTTTTTGAATACATATACGAGTAGATCAAAAATAATTTTTTAATGTTTTTCTATTTATTAAATGACCATGCAATCGTCTTCAATTACTAAATTATATTATATTTAATAGCACTATTAAATAACAAACCATACAAAAGATGAAAACTCACATTCTTATTTGTGAATTATTTGAAGAAATTTTTGAAAGGAGATGTAGTGGTTTATGGATCTGCGGCAAAAATTAAGAATAACTTTTTTCAGATAAAATTGCATATTTATTTTCAATTTTCAATCCAAAAAATTTTTGAAAAAAAGTGCTTAATAGATTCACTTTGTCCCTCCGTCCGTCAAAACTTGAAGATAGAAAGCTTAAATTTTATGTGCATATACATTTCTACTAGGATCTTATTTCCGTAGAACAAAATTTTTAACTATCTCCTCCCCCCCCTTTAAGAGTTATACCCTCCTAATACCGTAAAATTTTTTAGCTATTTATTGCAAAGAAACTATAATCGATTTTCAAATTTTGCAAACACAGAAATATAGTGGCTTTCTTCTTCTACAACGCAATACTATATTTAAACTTAAAAAAAAACAAAATGGCTTTAAAATTTACCGTTTTCTAAAACCCGTTATTCACAAATTTTTCCGGGTTTTTCTTCTATATTCTAAGTTGTAAAAGTCTCAAATTGTAACAGCTTTACAACCTAACTAATAAATAATTCATTTAGTTAGAAGTTAATATTTTTCCATCTCCATCCACATTCAATTTTGAATATTTGGCAACTTATATTTCGAAAAACGCAAGCTTTTCCAAATTCCTATAAACGCAGAAAGCTAATGGTAAACTCCATGCTATTCAAAAATATAATTATTATTCTTAATTCACAAAATTAGCCCTTAAAACCGAGTATTATGTTAACCCCTCTTTAAATTAATCTTTGCTTTATTTCAAAGACTGCAGAAATCGTTTATCCTAAATATATGCAATCCTAGAAATAAATTCGTATATGAGTGCAAATAATTTTAATAGTTTGATTGTTTTTAAAAACAGTATTTTCAGTTGTTGAAGGGAAATGTGCTAAACCATTAGTTTGACCCAAATTTACCTTTTATTAATTTTCTTATGGGAGTTGAAATACTGTATATACTGTTTTATTTTGTATTTGCTACTAACATCATCGGCTGATCGGTCACGCGTCTTTGCGCTCTCAAAAGAAACGAAGGGGCATTTTTTTTATTTCTTCTATTTATTTCATTGTTCTGTTCATTTTATTTAGAGCTTGAACAAATTTCTCTTTTAAAAATTTTCTTCTGATATCTCACCTATTTGCACTTAAATTTTGATCATATTTAAGATTTTGTTGTACCGTAAGGCCTTTCCCGTGATCGCAAATGTTCCCAGAATAAATTTCCTCTTAAACCTACTAAAATTCATCAAATATTAATTTCACAAAGTCTGTACTGTAAATATTTTTTTTAAAAAATACTCATACTTTTTAATTTAACATACTTTTTTTAAATCCCTTTTTCATCTGCTGAGATATAGCAGCATTCCAGAAAATTCCCGCAACAAGACTTTTAATTTTAGTTAAACGTTTTTTTTTTGCTACAAGTTTCGAAGCAACATAAATTGAAAATTATATTTTTCTTTGAAATCACCTCGGCATTGCCGTAAAACTTTCCTAAAGTTTCATGTTGATTTGATGACCAATTTAATACTCTTCAGCTGATTTCATATTTTCAAAATTTATTTTGAACAACAAGAAAATTTCGTCCAAAAAAAAATTCAAATATTTTGAAAAAATGCCTACTTATAGATGTTAATTACTAGGTGTAGGTGTAGGTTTCACAGAAAGTACTTACAAAAACGAGATTTTTTAGAAAATTCCTATTAATTTGCTCTACCCAGCACAAGCAATACTAATTTCTAGTTTCTATTTTTCGTGGAACCAGAGATATGAATGTTGTTCTAAAAAATAAAATTCTCATATTTCATTTAAAGATCCTCTCTGACTTATTAACGGATAAGAGTGATAAAGATCATCCTACATAAAAATTTTCTCCAGAAATGAAGTCCTAAACACATAGTATAACACTTGACGTGGTTTTATGTTATGAATATTAATGTAAATTAAGAACACCTTTTTTCATCCATTATTTTTAATACTATAAATACCGTTTTATATTACAAAATTGGAAAATTATTTTCATTATATTTATAAAATATTTATTTTTAAATTAAAATATGAATAATTTCTTTTTTATAATGAGTATACATACATATATATATAACTTATTTTAGTAAAAATGTGCGATACACGAGTATAAAAAGGAGTGTGAGAGTATATGGAGTAAACTTAATTGTAACAGGTGTTAAATTGAAATGCGTATAATTTTAGAAAAAAAAAATTGTTGAATGTTTTAGCATGCGAATACTGCGATTTGTTGCAAATTCGTTAAACCTTTATTTACTTTATTTAACTTGTGTTTTTTTTCTATTTTATTTATGTTATGAGTTATTATTTTAGTCTAGTCTAATTTAAAAAAAAAGATGTAAATAACACGAAAATAGTTAATTTTTTTGTTAACTTGAAGTAATTTCAATTTAAAATATTTTCAAACGATGAGAATTTTATACAAATTTTGTGGTGATTTTAATATTCTATTAAAAAATATATTTCACTGTGGTTCGATTAATTAATGGCTTAAATTTGCGTTCACCTTCCTCTTCCACCTACCATCCACTCCTACCCGATATATAGAATATAGAATATTTTCATATTTCTGTAGAAATGATATACCATACTTTATAATTGAGCAAAATATCTATTAAATGGAAAATGGTTGTTTAATTTCAATTTTTGTTGAAAGAAGGGCGGTTATGATTACATATATCCTTTGTAATACGAGGAGGTGCATTATGGAACATCGTTTTATTAAATTTAGGAAGTATATGAAAAGTGTTGTTTATTATCTCAGTCAATTATTTTATATATTATGGTTATTATTAGTTTTTTTTTCAATATATTACATGAACAAATTTACATAACTTTTATCCACTATGTTTTTTTCCACATGCATTTTTTCTTAGATTTACTTTGTCCGTATAATTGCGTTAAGACAATAATCAGATTTAAATAAAAAAACCAATAAATAGAGCTTCTTTATCATATTTAAATTCGATATAAACGTAAATTTTACTTCTCCCCTTCTGTTAAACGTTTAAGTTTAGAAAAACTTCAAATAACAAAATTTTAATTTATAATTTTAATTTATACGAGTATTATAATAAATTTTGTTTCTAAAGCAATAAAATTGAAATGAAATCATTAAAAGTAGTAGAATAAAAATTTTTTATATTTTAAATTTTTTGTTGTTTGTTTTCAAACAACAATAAAATATATGAATAAATACTCTTCACTAAGGTTACAAAAACTCCTTCTTCTGATTGTTTGACTTTTTCTAGACTATATACTTATTCTAGTTATGCATATAGTAAACTAATATATGTATAGTCTACACTAATATATGTATATCTGAACTATAGTGTTACACAAGTCAAACAATTTTAGTTCAGGCATCACAAGTGGTTATTGTACTTGTTAAATAACACATCATTCAATGTTTACAGTGAACAAAGTGTCGTTTTTTTCCTGGAACAGCCAAAGTTATAATCTTCTTTCTATAACATCAGCAAAAAAAATTTCCTTTGCCTTTTAAAGCTTCAATTTTCTTAGAAGTTCCCGATACAGACCTATTACGGAATTTCTTCCAAATGAAGATTTACACGCTTGTATAAATCAATGCACTAGTATATGAAACACTATATATATGATATTAGGCGAATTTTACTTTATTATTTATAAAAAAAATATAAATTTAAAGTTTCATTTTTGAGGACAATTTTTTTTTATATTTAATGTGTATGCAAATATTTTAGTTATTTTATATTTTTATTTATTAAATTATTAAAATTTTTGTTTTTATATTATATCATTCTGTTTGTAACGCTAAGAAGTAATGATATACATAATTATTACACCGTAGTTAATTACCGGAACCCTGTATTTAAATTGTATTCCGCAATTATTTTCCTATACTAAAAAA